TTTTTTTATCAGAAGTCAACTTTATTGAACATATGCATGGTACAATGGTACAGGGAGGCTCAGCCTCAACATCATGACAGCATCCCCATAACAATCTGGGGTATATGGTGCATATATATAACATAGTGCATACAATATGGATAGGAGGAGGGGGTTGATCGTCTCAACGAGAAAAGAAGGGAACCGTGGCACGTCACGGAAGTCAACTTTGGTGAAATTCGAGCATGAAAAAGAAAAATTATCAAGGAGCAAAAAACAATGCACCATAGAGGCAGGTTGGAAACGTAGCGTTCACGTCAAGTTGTTTTGTACAACATATCTATCGGATGGGATAGAGGCACTTACATTTGGCATCATTTCTTAATACACAAAAACAGATGTATATGGCTAGGTAAGTGGTCGATGTCTAAGAGAAGAGTAAGGATAGGGAGGGAGAAGGCAGGCATGGAGCGGGAAGGCGGGCATGAGGGGTGGGGTGTGGGAGAGACGAAAAGGAGAAAAGAAACTAGCAGCACGGAAGAGCCAGGGGGTATGAAAGATGGTTGTGGAGGTGTGTCTCTACAGCGCCATGTCCAGGCCACGCCCCCGACTATGAAGTTTTAAACCCTAACAATGACCTTCTCTGATCCCTTTTGGTCTTCTAAATATACAGTTGAAAGTTGCAACTAAATGCAAAAAAAAATCCAAACCTATTAATCCTGCCAGAAACCAAGTGGACTGATAACTTCCTGTGCACAAAAAAGAGTTATGAAGATACGGAGAGGGGGAGGAGACGAGTAAGGGATATGGAGATGAGGAGAGGAAGAGGAGATGAGGAGGGGTAATGGAGATGAGGAGGAGGAGTTATGGAGATGAGGAGGGGTTATGGAGATGAGGAGGGGTTATGGAGATAGAGGAGGAGGGTTTATATAGATGAGGAGGAGTTATGAAGATGAGGAGAGGGGGAAGAGATGAGGAGAGGGGGAGGAGATGAGGAGGGGTAATGGAGATGAGGATGGGTTATGGAGATAGAGGAGGAGGGTTTATATAAATGAGGAGGAGTTATGGAGATGAGGAGAGGGGGAGGAGATGAGGAGGGCTTATGGAGATGAGGAGAGGGGGAGGAGATGAGCAGGGGTTATGGAGATAAGGAGAGGGGGAGAATATGAGGAGAGGAGACGTTCTGGAGATGAGGAGAGGGGGAGGAGTTATGGAGATGAGGAGGGGTAATGGAGATGAGGATGGGTTATGGAGATAGAGGAGGAGGGTTTATATAAATGAGGAGGAGTTATGGAGATGAGGAGAGGGGGAGGAGATTAGGAAGGCTTATGGAGATGAGGAGAGGGGGAGGAGATAAGGAGGGGTTATGAATATGAGGAGAAGGGGAGGAGATGAGGAGGGGTAATGGAGATGAGGAGAAAGGAGTGGTTATGGAGACGACGAGGGATTGTGGAGATAAAGAGGGGGGAAGGAGATGAGGACGGGTTATGGAGATGAAGAGGGAGGAGGAGGAAGAGTTATGGAGGTCAGGAGGCAGGAGGAGGGGTTATAGAGACGAGGAGGAGTTATGGAGATGAAGGTGGAGGAGTTATGGAGGTGATAAAGAGAGGTTGTAGAGATGTAGATGGGTTATGGAGATGAGGAAGGGGAGGGAGATGAGGAGAGGTCTGCATTTTTTTAAATCCATCAGAAATGAAGTAGTCAGGGCTGACACCACATGCTTTAGAATTCAGAACCAATAGTACACTGTGGTATCATGTCAGAGAGGAAGGTAGGTGCGTGCACACTATATTTCTGGTGCATCAAAATTTACTTTTCTGTACTCGCAGGGTGTTTAAAGGGATAAAACATGGGATAATGTTCATGTATTTCAGAGATGTACTTAACAGGTTTTATGTTTCTTTTGCCTTGACATCCGCTTATTTGAGATAAAAGAAATAATTACACTTGGTGTCCTGTTCACAAATCCAGACATGCAGGTACCTGTTATTTAGAGCCCAGACATGGTACACCTTCCACGGCTTGTCTGGAACACACACTTAGCCCAGTCTGGAGGTGACAGCACTCCGAAGGTCTTCTCCCACTCAGTGGCCATCAGCACATTCACCACCAGCCTTCCCCTCTGACAGGAGATTGGGTTACCAGCAGCTGCTGCGTGGAATGCTCAGGAGGACAAGTGCCTCCCTCACTGGGAAGTATGACTTCCTGCGGCAGCGTGTAAGGTGTTTGTATGTACGGAATGGAAGCTATCAATTTATAATATTCCGGAACACCGCCTCTACCCACCCTTGTAAAAATAAACAGATTAAGGAACGCAGCGAAGCAATCTCACTCCTTATCCCCATCTGCTAATTAGAAGGGATCCAACGGGCGCCAAACACGTCACCCTGCCTGTCCTGGAAGCTGATAATGGCTCCAGTTCTAGAGCAGAAACCATTAGGTAAGTGAGCATGTGCCTGAGACTAGAGGTGACCTTACAAGACACTCCAAGTATTCATAAACAATTCAGAGGATCATCACAGTGACTGTTATGAGACTGATTCATGAGGACAGAATATTTCTGGTCAGTGCTGAGAGTCTTAGATCCCAGCTGCCATTATTTATAGTAGAATAAGAAGAAGAATATGAAAAATGTTAGAACTGCCGAACGTGCATGAGCATGCAGCAAAGGGTGACCACGCTGCTTCTGCACTGAGACGTGATGAGTGAGTGTTGTCACCCTTTTACAGGAAGTCCCTGAGGAAGCTGGCAATTATATGTAAAGCCCGAAATTGTATTTATCTTTGGATGGAATAGGGTTGGGTTAAAGGAGAACTATGGGGTTAAGGCTTTTCCCCATAGTTCTCCTTAGGGTAACGGGAGAACACAAACTTGCGTCCTCCCGTCAATCTAGGCTCAGTATACCGCGAGCTGTAGCTCGTGGTATACTGAGACGCCGCAGCTGAAGCGGATCCCGACAATTATGCCGGGATCCGCCCAGCTGCGTGAATGACCTTACTGTACCCGCCCGCCCCCTCCCCCGTCCGTTCCACCAGTCAGCGCAGGCGGATCGGAGCAGGGAGGGGGAATCCAGCCCCTACCCTGTCACGGCAGAGAGCCGTGACAGGATGGAGAGGTGAGCGAACGCCGGTATGTGTTCGCTCACTTCCCGATCTACTGAGCCGACCTGTGACAGTCTCATTGTCACAGGTCGGCTAGAACTATGAGGTGAGTGAAAAACACTCACCTCATAGTTCTCCTTTAAACTTAAAACCCCTGTCAGGTTTTTTTTTTGCTGTCTGTGTTTTTCACTTGAGACACAACATCCTGTTGTTGTGAGGAGAGATTTCTTCAAAGGAAAGGAAATCCTCTCTTGGACAGTTGTCACTGGATCAACTGCACCCGTTGTGAAAATAATCTGTTCGTGTTCCAGTGACAACTCCAAAATGTTTGGATTTTTTCTCACTTTTCATTCCAGTGATAGTGGTCACCGGGACAAATAAAGGAGGTGAATCTATATGTCCCGCTGGTATCTGACTCTCTCAGAAATGTTGTATGGTAGACATGTGCACCGGCAAAAATGTGTTTCGTTTCGTTTTCATTCGGATTTTCCGTTATTTCGTTTTTCGGGATTCAGGTCCGAAAGTCAATTCGTTTCGGGATTCGGATTCAGACGAAATTCGTTAGCGGTAGTCTGTACGAATTTTCGTGACATTAGACACAATCATTTTTTTTTCTTTTGTCTAATGTCACTTTGCTGCAACGAAAATTCATCCAGAAAGGACAATTCGTACAGACTACCGCTAACGAATTTCATCCGAAATTTTCATTATCGGAAATTCAGATTCGTTTTCATTCGTCATTCCTGTCATTCGGAGATTCGCATGTATCTGAATCTCCGAATAACGGAAAATTGTCTGAATAACAAATCTTTCCGAAAACCAATCGCACACGTCTATTGAGTGGAGAAGATGTTGCAGCAAGCTTCCCTTTCTGGTATGAACTGTTTGTTTTGCAGGTTGCTAGTTTTAGATTTTAAAAATCCTGACCGGGCCACATTTATGACACAAAGTAATTTACATGATCAAATGGCGTCATTGCTCAGCCGATTTCTCCATCAAAATTAAGCTAAAATTTGACCATCAACAGCAGAACCAATCTGATCATTTGGGTAGCACGGGCCCTCAATGTTGTAGCACAATGGGTTGGATTCTCATTGACATACTCACCAGGCATTGGTTACAGCTGCGTCCAGTTACAAAGCGTTTACAGAAGCAGTCCCCGCTGATAGAATCACACTGGGTGCCGTCGGAAATGGTTCCTCTTGTGTCACACTGACATCCTGGCAACAGATTAACCAATCAGAATGTGATCAGTGAATTAGCCCATTCAAGTTTTTCCTTTTTAATTACTTCAACTTGCAGGTTGCAAGATGCCTAATGCCCCAAATCCTCCAACACGACCTCTATCTGGTAGAGCCAACTTTTCTGTCTAAATTAACTTTTCCTAGTTACATCACCTGAAATAAAGTGCAACTGAAGCCCAAACTTTTTTGTTTTGTTTTGAATAGAGTGGAGAAGAATTAGGACAACGAGAGGGAGATTCACCCTTTCTATTTGTACTATTCACTGACAGTGAAAGTAGAAACTAAAATGAGTTGTCATCATTACAGGAACAGGCGGCAATCAACACTCGGCTTTTGGCTTGGGGAATAAATTTAAAAACAAAGTGTGCCCCCCAGTCCCTCTGATTCTTAACCTTAAAGGCCTTGTTCACACCAAGCGCGTAGCAGGACCAGAGCAGAGCAGTTGCAGACCGGATCAAAACTGCGTCCAATGTATTCCAATGGTATTTTTTGCTCCAGTTCACATTGCAGCTTTCAGTTCCAGAGCAGGTCCAGAGCAGGTGAGAAAACTGCAGCAAGCCCTATTTTACCTGCTCTGGACCTGCTCTGGAATGCATGCAAACGCATCAAAAATGCATGTAAATGCCTGGAAAGAACTGAAAGCCCATGTTAAACAAAAAAAAACGACCGGAACGCATCAAAAACACAAAAACGCGGCACAACCCACTGCACTGCGTGTGCAGAAACCTGAGCAGATCTGCTCTGCATTTGGTGTGAACAAGGCCTAAAGGGCAACTGAAGCCAAAATTATGTTTTCAGCACTGAATAGAGTAGAAGGGAATAGAACACTTGTCGGGTTCACCCTCATTGTTTGTCCTGGTGACCGTTATCACTGAAAGTGATAGAAAATTCCAAATTTTGGGCTGTCGCCAGAACAGGAATAGATGGGAAATCTTACAATGGGAACCTAGTTTTAGCGGCCCTGCTGGCCACTAGGAATTTCCCTTTTTTTGAAGGGATTCCTCTCTCATTCTGTTGTGGCTATCGGACGGGAATTCAAGGGAAATCCCCCCAAAGGAACATAAAAAGCTGACAGGGGTTATAACCTTCCCTTATGCATCCAAATTTAAAAAAAAAAAAAGTTTTGGCTTCCATTCTACTTTAACATAGTAACAATATCTCCCCCACATATATTGGAAGGTAAGGCCAGAGTGAGGTGGATGCTATTAGGCTGCTCAGAAAAGGAAATGTATCTTATTTTGTATTTATATCGTTATATAATTTTGCTTCAATTGTCTCCTTTAGAACAGAATGAGTTCAATAAACAATTTCCATTTTAACATGAAATATTTTTTTTAAAGCTTTACAGCAGCCCTGAAAGCAGACTGTGCTCCGGGGTAACATAAGGAAGGAAATTCGGATGGAAATTCGGATGGAGATTCGGAGGGTATGTGTGCTAACATACGTCTGAGTCTTATAAATGTATTTTTTATGCAGATGAAGTGCAGGGACTCCCTACCTCTCCCTCCCGAAGTGGCACTTATATCTGTTTTTTGATGGCCAGAAGATACACCAGAAACAATTATTGCTTAGACATTTCATTACAGCTGTGCACTAGCTCATTTCCACGTTTTGGAAAACAACTACTACACCTTCATTATCGTTTGAGAAATCAAGTCAATTCATTATCGTATCAGGTCAATACGCTAAACAACATCAGGCACATGGAGGAACTCTTAGCCTCTTATAATGATGCCCAGTGGACCATCTAGATACATTTTTCTACCTTGGCCTTCCTTGAGAAATACACTTTAAGTTCACCACCCTCTCAGGCTATAGCCATCATGGCTGACTAATCAACCTAAACTATACTCTATCATAACCATAATGATAACCTAGGTGCTGGCCCTTCCAGTCCCCCCCTACTTTCCACCATTTCCCCTCTTCCTCTCTGGAAGATTACTCCATATCTTCACTGTTTAGATGACGGATTCTCATTTCTAAGTTGTAAAGTCCAGATTTTCTCTCACAAATGTAGCACAGGAATGTAATTTCACTCATATACTGTATATGGAGCATGTTGTAAATGACTCATATTTTTTATCAGTGCTCAAGATTTTGTGCTGTGCTTTCCACCTTATTTTGACATTGAAAAAGATTCAGCCAAGAATGGAGATGCAGATACGGTACAATGACCTCTGCATTGTGAAAATATTACAGTGTACATTTGCGATTGTTGATATTTTGTCTCACTTTAAATAAAAAATGTCTTACTTCTGCATCCTTGGAAGCTGCCAGCGCTGAGACCGAAAAATCCAGACTTGCATCTGTCACATCGGGGACCTTCAACAAAGTCTTTGCATCGGCATTGTCCGGCAATGAGACCCAAAGCTGAATCGTCCTGAGCGTCACAGAGACCGCCGTTAAGAGAGCCGTCTGGGTCACAGTCACAAGCTATAAAGAGCCAATCAGAGTATCGTTATATGTCATTAGAAACGCAACATCTTAGATTGTGGATAATGGTACCTGCCCACTATGCCCAACCATATGCTAGCCCTCAATCACTAAGCACATAATGATTGGCTGTTGAGGAAACTCTTGTATTTTCTATTGTTTATACAAAAGCCTATTTTTGATATAGTATAGAAAGAGTTATACGGTGCATCAGCATGGAATTGATTTCAATGCCATTCACCTTCAATTTTTTTAATGGATTCAATGAACTCCGGGTGAAACGATCAATAGTTATGCTCTGTGCATGGTTAGATGTATACGGTACCAGACAGTAAAGGAATGCTGGAAACTACCATTGCTGACCTCTTCTGCTGAAAATGTTAGTTGCCTGGTGTTTATGCTGATCCATCGGCTTCCATTCTTTCTGTGTCCATACCTCCCAGCTATCCCTCATATGTAGGGACTGTACCTCATTTGGAACCAAATCCCTCTGTCCCTCTTTCCTCCTCAGTTGACCCACTTATTGGTCTGATGTACAGATGAAGCTTCTATTTAACTACCAAAGTGTTATTCTGCCTTAAAACCTTCGTCCTATCTTTTAATCATCTTGTTTGCGGTTTTGAAAAGCTGCAATAAAGGAAGAATAATGGTGGAAAACAAAAATGGGCCAATCATTTGTGTTATATAAATGCTTAGCAGTCCACAAAATTGGGGTTGGGGCAGGGGTGTGGCCCTTACCTAAATATATCATGCTGGAAGGTGTCCACGTTTCTCATCTTAGAAAGTTGGGAGGTATGTGTGTCACTATCCTGGTACAAGTCATGGATCACTGAAAATACTGAAACCAGAGGCAGCAAAGCATTTAGCATTTTCAAAAGGAGCACAGCAGTGGCACCTCTGTATATTCCCTCAGTACAGGTTTCCTTTAAAATAATCTTCTCCAATTTCTTTGTATTGTTCTACTTTACACATTGGACTGCATATGTTAACCCTGTAAATCCGCCATGTTAATCCGTTATCAAAAATGTCAGCACCACTGAGGTTTTTATTTTTATGATTTTTGTATTTGTTATTATCATTCATTACGGGTGCAGGGGAAGGTGTCCAGGGAACAGACAAGACAAGACAAGAAGCTCATCTAACTGCCTGTTGGTGGGACTAGACTGTAGCCAGGCCAGGCTTTTGTGTAATATACCATAAAATTTGCCCAATTTGCTATATTTGGATAGAACCGTCCAGTATATAGTTCTCATCCCACAGAGGCCCAGTGTCAGGTACCTTTGCACACGTTGCTATCTCGGATGTCCTTAGTGGGATCTTTGTAGTAGAAAGGCTTGCACAGCTCACAGTTCCTCCCCATTGTATTGTGCTGGCAGTCGTCACAAACGCCTCCGCTCGTGTTCCTGGTGGACAGGTAGACCGCCATGTCGAAGTGGCCCTTTCTAGAATGGTTGTTGCAATTGCACTCTGGAAAGAAAATAGTGTTAAGAACTCTTCAACATGCAGTCTTGTTGTTTATTGGTTGGAGCAGAAGATATTAAAGATAGTAAATCTCCTTCCAATAAAACAGAAATTAAATTGACAAGTTATACATAATTACTACGCAAACCATTTTTTTTTATTTCATTGTATTAGAAATTACCTTTTCATTTTAATCAGCAGCCAACTATGATTGTGTAAAAAAATGGAAAATAAATCAAATTCTGCTTTCTAACAACCTATACTACACAATGTTGGTGTACAGAAGGGCTTTTCTCTTGCTACAATACTTGGGTTGGACATGTGACTTTAGCAGCTAGTGTCCCTTCATTGGCATCAATAGGAGGAATAGTGACTTATCATTGGTGTCAGTGGAAGGAATAGTGACCCATCATTGGTGTCAGTGGGAGGAATAGTGACCCATCATTGGTGTCAGTGGGAGGAATAGTGACCCATCATTGGTGTCAGTGGGAAGAATAGCGGCCCATCGTTGGTGTCAGTGGGAGGAATAGTGCCCCATTATTGGTGTCAGTGGGAGGAATAGTGCCCCATTATTGGTGTCGATAAAGGAATAGTGCCCCATTATTGGTGTCAGTAGGAGGGATGGTGCCATTATTCACCAAGTCAAGCAGAGAGGGTGAATCTGTAAACCTCCCCACACAACAATAGGAGCCTTTCCACTTATAAAAAGAAAGTCTTTAGATACACTTTAAGTGGGGAAAGGACATTCACTGGTGAATCATTTGCTGCATTTATCAAACAAATTCACCAGGAAGAATCACCCGCACAATCACTGAATTCAACCCGGCTGACGGATGGGATTTCCATTGCCATTAATGGGGACTTTAATGAACTATTGAGACTTTTTGCAGTAAAGTATTGGATGAGCCTGAGTGTCATCTGCCAGTTGCCTGAGCTGAAATACTCACTTTTACAAGCATTTGTGCTGCGTCCCTCGGCTGGCCTCCAGGGAAGGTCATTGAAGAAACTGTCACACTGCTCACAGTTCAGCCCATTCGTGTTGTGTTTACATACACATCTGCCATGAACCTGAAAGTCAGAAAAATACAAGAATGTGAGTATTCTGACCCAACACCAAATGTGACATGACAAGACTTGCACCTGCTTCGTGAGTCAACTTAGACAAAAGTGACTTTACTGACCACAACACCAAAGATGATAAACATTCTAGCAAATCTGATCTTTTTTTTAGCTTTGGGCACTGCTTGTAGCTTTTTCATTAACCTCAACATCAATTTAAAGCTGACCACCGGGCACAAAAACCTTCATCTTAAAAATTCCTTAACAGCTACAAAGGATATACATCCCCATTTTGTCTTCCCCAAAATCCTTTGCATCACAGATATTACTTTTTAAAAGTAGCAGTGACATCATCACTGTGCTGTACATAGCCTGTTGAGAGAGCAGAGCTGTGGAAGGGGCAAAGCAGGTCCCGCCAACTACAGGCTGCCTACAGAAAACTACAGGAGGGGAGGAGACAAGACCAGTCACCCTGCACAGGGAGAGAGAGCAGCAGTGAGCGGTCTTTATTACAGGAGAGGGCGGAGACAAGACCAGTCACCCTACACAAGGAGAGAGAGCAGCAGTTAGCAGTGTTTATTACAGGAGGGGACGGAGACAAGACCAGTCACCCTGCACAAGGAGAGAGGGTAACATTGACTGGTCTTTATTATAAAAGGGAGCGGAGAAAAGACCAGTCACCATGCACAAGGTGAGAGAGAGAGCAGCAGTGACCGGTCTTTATTACAGGAAGGGGCGGAGACAAGACCAGTCACCCTGCATAAGGAGAGAGAGAGAGCAGCAGTGAGCGGTCTTTATTACAGGAAGCTCCAAGTGTCACACTGGATAGCTGCACAGATCTGGAAGAAATACAAAAAGCTCAACCAGGTTCAAGAAGAATGCACATATGACTCTTGTATGAGGACAATATATGCTTATCCCAGAGTTCAGCTTTTACACATAACCCTGCCTTTCCAGAGAATTAATACTGCAAGGCAGGCTTCTACAATAATATTTTTTTTAGGTTTCTATTGCACTCTGCTTTTTTTAGCTCCCCACCCTTATCTCCAGTCATGTCTATGGAATGCTGAACTTTCCATAACATTCAGTTGTTGGCCCATGCCATGGTACTCTAACCCTTTCCATGACCAGGGGGTCATTGATATGTTGATGATTTAGACCTAAATTAGCACCTCCAGTATGTGCCAATTGACTAATTGGCCTACCTAAAGAATTTTATAGGGACATTAAACCAAAGACACCAGAATTCCTCACCATGCCCTCTTCATCCTTGGAGATGCCTTGGATGGGCGCGCACTCGGAGGCATGTCCGTAGCAGAAGCAGTTTCCTCTGACCACCAGCTCATAGAGAGCATAGTAATACTTCTCTTTAATCTCCTGGCGGGAATCGAGCAAGTTATCGCCCAGCGTGTGCAGTCTGGTGAAATTGATCCTCAGGTTGGTAATTTTGAGAAGATCTGAAGTGAGAAAAAAAATGTGGCATAATTAGAACAGAGGATGATCATGACATTATTTGTATGTATAAGTTTTATATATGTGTATGTAATAAGCAAGTGATTTCAGGGCTCCTGTAAGCAATCTGTCCCTGTGTGACAACGGGGGTCTGCAAGGGTGACACTACCACTCATTGAACCGGCTGGGACATGTCCCAGTAATTTGCTTTCTACACTCCTCACAGGGCTGGTGGCTGGACAGGAGCCAAGAGCAACACCCAGTCTCATCCTTTAAACAGGGAGTCAGCCATGTATGGCAATAGAGCAAAGCCGAAAACCCAGAGCTAAATCAGTAACAGCTTCAGACATCTTTACAGGGGCTCGAAAAATAACTCCCTGCATTTAGAAATGAAGCAGACTCATGTTGTGAGTGTCGGGGAACGGCCCAGGAATAGTCCATGAAAACACTCCTAATCCCCGTGTATCGCTATGGTCTAGTCTACATAAGAACGCATCTATGTCTTGGTGTCCAGAAGGGTAATACCATAGCGGTCAAAGGACATGATTTATCAAACTGGGAAATAGCTTAAGGCATGCTAAAAGTGGCATGTTTCCCCCTATCACCGGACCCATCTCAAGGTGAAACCATCTGGCATCTTTAGTGTATTTTCCCCAAAAGTGTAGGAAATGGTTAAAACCCCACCAGTTTCTTTGTTGCTTCGCTGGATTAGAAAATTGAGCACCGAAACATCAGTCCACAGTCCTTTATTGTTGAATGGAATGTGACAATATGGAGAACAAATGGTATCCAACGCATCCCCCTTCATTAGGGCTTAAACATGGCTGGCTACGGTAACAATGCTGAATTCTTTTTAGATTAAAATCAGATGGGAAAAGTGCAACAGATTGGCCCAGGTGGAGATTACTCCATCCACACAGTTGGAGATTACTCCATCCACACAGTTAAGTGTAGATGGAGGAATCTGTTGCACCTTTTCCATCTGACCACAGAAAATCTGCAGATAAATTGTAAGGTGTATGGCCAGCTTCACAATGGGAAGAAAAGGGGGGTTAGGATGCTTTAAAAGGGACACCACTCTCAAAGCACTGTTGCTGATAGTGCTGTGCTCCGCAAGCACATGAGTTGACTTTGCTCTGACATCAGAAACAAAAAAATGAAAAAGAAAAAGTCTTGGCTGAAAAATCATGAGGAATTCAGGTTGCTGGATGCATTGTGAGCACATGGTTAGCCAGTTCTGTTAAGAAGTACTTACTCTGGATCCGGGGGCTATAAGGGTCTCTGATTGAGATTGCTGGATCCAAAACTCTGTATATCACCTGTGAACAATATGCAAGGGTCAATGTAACCAAAGAGAAACTGCTACCATGTCTGAGCTCAAAGAAGAATTATAGCCAGAAGTTTAAAAGTCTTTCAAAACCATTGGCCAGATTTCAATGGGATCAAGTGCTATGTGCACTGGGTCCCCTTGGGGATTCAACTAGACGTTTAGACTTCTGGTGATACAGTAATACCGAACGCTTCTATTCGCGAACAATTCCATTTGCGAACAGGAAGTTCAGCAAAATTTTGCTTCCGTTCACGAACTCCACACCAGGTGACGAACACAATCGCAGCCATCTTCCCCGCTCTGACACATGGTTGTGGCTTCCTCTAGTCGAGATCACGGTCTGATCAAACTTTGATTCGGTTCGCGACCAATTCGGTTCCCGACCAGAATCGTTGAACGAATTAAGTTCGTGAACCGAGGTACCACTGTATAGCAGTCATGTATAGTGCTCAGGTCCTATTCTATCGCTCATTATTCAGTCAATGCTAAACTAAAAATTGGTTGGTATGAGTTATTATTCATCGCTGCTATTTGTTCAGATACTATAGGGAAAGGATAGTTTGTTTTTCAGTAAGCACATACATATAGTTATATTATGTAATATACATATAATATTACCTTAAAGAAAAGAACATCTATGTAATTTTCACATTTTTACCTTCTTGTTCTTCCATATTTTTGTGAAATTGTATAAAAACAAAGATTAGCCACTAGAGGGAGCTATGTATGTCCATTCAGTCTTTCTGCTTAACAGCTTGGAACAGATACAAAGTTTCAAGCTGATATCCAGCCAAAACATTTTTGAAAGTTTTTCATTTCCTGTCCCAGTGGTTGTGGCCATTGTGACAGGAAGTGACAGTGAATCTCCTCCACCGAGACCAAGAACCCTTACCTGAGATATAAAAATGAAGTTAGATCTAAACCCAACCACAGAAACTGTATAATTGCCGTAACACGTTCATGTAATTTTCAAACGCTGTTTTCAGTCTTTTAAGGGCCGGTGCACACCCAGGCAACATCTCACTGCATGGCAATCGTGCATGATTCCGCACGGATTGCCATGCGGTCGGAAGTCATTAAAAAAAGGTCATTACAGCATTTTATAAAAAAAATCATAAAAGTCAGCATTGGAGCTCCTTGGCACCATCTAGTGGCCATAATGCGGTGAATGTAGACCTAATTTAATGTTTTGGCTGGAGTTCCACTATAATACATTTGGTAAGCTGGTCACTTCAACGCAATCATAATTGAAACTAATAATTTAAAAAAATCTTGCATTTTATATCCCAATACCCATCATCGTACCTCTCCTTCTGTTGACGGCTCAATTTCGGAGTAGCGGGATTCACAGATGATATCGTCCACTTTTCTCAGAGTGTTCCGGGAAATATTAGAGAAGACGGCTGCGCAGTCGTAAGCAAAGTACCGGTAAACTTGCCAACTTCGACCAAAGTCTGACGAGCGCTCAACCAACATGGATGCCGGTCTGAATGTCTGGGGAGTAAAAAGAAATAAAAAATTTTTTAATAAGGCTGCACAGGAAGAATACTGATATAGGGATCTATTTATAAGCAATTCACAAGGCCCTTCATTCTGTGAATATCTGTGAATGTTCGTTTTGTGCGAATAATGTCAAACCTCCCCCCCCCCTCCCAAACATTCTTAATATATTTCCTTTTCAGGTCGAATGCATTATGATGTAATACTGCATTTTAACCACCAGATGGAGGCGAAGAGCACAGGAAATAAGTAATAATTTCCTATTCTGCTCAGCTCCGTCTAGTGGCCATAATGCAGCATTACATCACAATGCATTCCGCCAGAAAAGAAAATATATTAAGAACTTTTGCTTTTATTATTCGCACAAAATAAACACTGAGAGGAAGTTGCAGTACGAAAAGGCCCTTTATAAATAAACCCCATAGTTTTGGTAAATCTAAAGTTGACTGTGCAAAGATTGTACGGTCCAACTGTTAAATGTATAAATATAAGAGATATAGGAATCCAGTGGGTGACTTCACGCACCGGCATCCCTCTATAACTTAGAAAACACGGCGGGCTGGGCTGACCCTTTACATAGTCCTGCTCTCTCCACCAGAAGGCAGCATAAAAAAAAAGAGACAATACCTTTCAAATCCTCCTATTATGATATGGAGATGCGAAATAACTGAAATTCCATTTTCATTCACTGGATCCCATCCCAGCCCCCAGATTATTCACCATTCCCATGAATGGAGTGTTTGTCTTCATAAAATACACGAGGAAGAGATGAAACATCGCAGGGATAATTTTCCATAATCAGCACAGATATTAGATGTACCTTGAAGGTCATGATCAGGTGAGTGAAGTGAAATTCAGCCTCCAGGTCCAGTTGAATGCTCACTTCAGAGGCTCCTGCATGAAAGGAACACAATACGGTTATTTCCCATTCATAAATATAACTGCCTAGGTGTTACTGGCAAATCATCATTTAAAGGGAAATTACAGTATTTTTTAAACTGCTTTGGATATTAATCTCATAGTGAGCTATATGTATAAATGTATATATACTATACACACACCATACAGTATATGTATATAAAACATTTTTAATAAAGACATTTTTTTTAAATTGTTACATAAAAATGAAAATAAAAAGTAAGAAAAACAAAGGCTAGCTCCACTTTATAAATATAAAAATGAAAACAATATTTAAAAAATTAATATAGCATATATGATTGTCGCACAAGCCATTTTATAATTTAATTGAAGATGGCCTTTCCATTTAAAACTTTAGCTGCTATAATGTTCTCAATCTGTAAAAAAAAAAAATCAATGCCAAATAGTGACCTGGAGGTGTTCCGTACACAGTTGGTGTACAAAACTCCCCCCTGAAATGTCACTTCCTGCTTTTGTGATTGGCTGACTGATGTTCCCAGAAGTCTGCAGTAAGATACAAATATAACTTTTAGAATCCCCTGCAAAAGGAATTACATTTTTGGTGAGATACTCCCTAAGGGTTAATTACTAATAAAGGGATGCCGACACTGCACCTTTCCTCATTACAACACAGAAAGTCCACCAGATGGTTATAATGAACCCAGACACTCACAAAGGCTGGGTTCACACCTGGGCGTAGCATAGGCACGGTTTTTCTGCTCGTTTTTTTCGTGTTTGTAGCACGTTTTTCCGTTCATACCGCCAGGGAAACGCGCGTTTCACTGGCGGTATGATTTTTTTTTACATTTTCCTTTATTTTCTCTATTTTTCATTTTTATTTTTTTTTTACTTTCAAACTTTCCGCCATTCAAATGAATGGCAACGCACCATCTGCACCAGAACGAGCAGTAGGTGCGATTGTGTGGTAGTTTGTGATTAAAACACTGACAGACACACAACCACAGACAGAATCACACACACTCAGACATTCTCACACACACGTACACACTCATTTTTTTAGGGGTTCAGTGTGGGCTGCTGTGCTGTGACGGAGCTCCATCCATTTGTGCATTGCTTGTACAGCTCCCTTGTGCGCCCTGTAAAGGTGCCAGGAGCCAGATGGTGACATCACTCCAGTCACGGGGGAGCTGTAAGCAATGCACGTATGGATGGAGCTCCCTCGCGGCCACCACACCTCAAGCTGACACTCGGCACCGGGCAGCATATTTTGAATGGCTGCTCAGCACGAGAACTGACAGTGCTGCACTAGGGGGAGGCTGAGGAGTCTCTCACCTAGTGCAGTCGAAGACATGCAGCGCCCCACTGAAGCTGGGGTCGTGACCCACTTTAGGATCACGACCCACCAGTTGAGAACCAAAGGTCTAGATTATGGTGAGTCTTCTGACTCCTAATAACATTCCCTGCACCCTCTTTCCATTACAGTTCTCTAGCTGAATTTATCCAAAAAAAGGCAAATAATCTGTTAAAAATTCAAAAGGTTTTTCATTCACACAGTACAGTGCAGCCAACGTGTTTCAGAGGTTTTAGCACACCCACTTGTTCAGGGTTTTAGGCATCAATGTGGGTGGGTGACAGGTGGGTGCTGGAAATAGCTCATCAGTGGCTGAAGCCGCTCTGATGTGATTCATTGCCTGCTAAGTGACAAAAAGCTATGCCACCGACTGGGGGGGCAAGGTCACTGGAAGCAGTTTCACATTATTATTGTTTGAGGGCTTCCATTGCATGCACATTATGACTAAACACAAGTGGTGGCATCAAGCCATAGGGAGGTCTAGCGAGAGAGGATCTCCTTTGAGAATTTCTAAAAAAGACAGACCCAGAGATAATGAGCGGAGGGGCTGCATGGCTGGGACAAGGAATAGTCCTGGAGAAGGGGTTAAAATAAAAACGGGAATCAGTTGATCTTACCTGATTGGAAGTTGGAGTCAGGTGTCGGGGAGGAGCCGCATGTGATGGGACCGCAATGGCTGATGGGCATTCTTTCCGGAAAATCGACAGAGGAAGCAGGTTGTCCCGCCCGCCCTCCGCTAACTTTTTGCCGTTGGCATGGTAGTTTATGTCACGGCAGCTTGGCGGGTTAAGGGGTCTTTGGGTGTCCAGAAATGTGAGTCGTGGGGCCATCAGTTGGTATTGTGCTCCCTCCTACTGTTGGTGTCGGTAGTTGTCTGGGTCCTGGCCTCTTGAAACTTGGGAAGCAGTATCTGTCCTCAAGCTGGTGGGGGTGCGGCTGGGGACATGAGAGCGGTTTTAGTAGAGGCCTTATTTTGGCTGATGGGCACCCAAAGACCCCTTCTCAGATCCAACAGTCATTCAGATTATTTATTTGTATGTTATTTTGGTTATTATGTTTTGTTACTGTTCAATTTTGGTATGTTAAATAAAGGGCTGCTGTGGCCATTTAAATCCACGTCGCGCAGTCCGTGCGTTCATTCAGGTTTTTAACAGAGGGACGTAATTGATGAATCCATCAGTCCAGTTTTTGCAGTGACCTTACTGGCCCTCCTGCACTGCTGCATTCTTCCATCTCAGTGCAATGTTAATATTTCATTTCGCCGTAAAACTACTGTAAATAACAGAACATAAAAAGTGTTCTCCCTTTGAAGCTAAGCTGATGATGGGAGAGTGAAAAACAGATTAAGGAAGGCTGAGCTCGGAAATCTCTTGGATGAAGTTCAATTGCTTTTTTAGAGAAGATCTTTTCAGACAAATTCTCTTTGGACTTTAATGAGCGAGATTTGCACAAGGCAATTGTAGATGATAGATGCCAGATTAGGAAGCACAGTTTATTACATAGTCCAGTTATTTGGTCTCTATTCATGATAGGTTGCAAATAAGTCTTGACCATCTGACAAAGGTTCTAAAGCTACATTCACACGGGGTGTTGTGAGATTCCGTTGGCAGGTTCCTTTGGATTCCTGCGACAGGATTACCAGGTGTCCCTGTTCAGATGATTGTCGTTGGATGCATCTATCCTGCCCAGGGACAATCATCTATCCCGAACAGTATGCAGTCGCACCATGTACTGCCGCTGATAGATGCAGCCACTGTCACCCTGTCATTATCTTCAATGGGTACAGCAGCCGCATCTGAATGGGTACACCTGGGGATCCTACAATGTGATATAAGTCCCTGTATGAATGGGCCTAAGGTAAGGGGCGCCTATGCAAATTTACCATTGTTAAAGGGTCAGCTTATGTAACACTGATATTTTAGGTATGGATAGAACCCGGTGGGATGAGTTTGCCCCTGACTCCTTATATGACTATGATAGTTAGGCAGTGAGGTCTCCTTACCATAATTCCTTACCCACCTTGAAATTTTGGTTTGTTCTCACCAGTGTGTCCTCCAGCTCCTCCTGTTACATTCGACATACTGTAAAATAAATCCAGTAAGGAGAGCAGGAGCCTCTCATAATGGGCAGAGCAGGTATGCATACCTAGGAACCTGCAGAGATCTCACCAATAGTCCCCAGGAAATAAAAGAAGCGTTTCAGTTTCAGGTGAGCTAGGCCATTAACCTGCTCTCTTCTGCCCTGAAATTCTCAGGGCTAGACCCCAGCTGCCAAGGTTCTTCCGAATAGCATGGTGTAGACACACTTGTACAGGCCATCTAAAAAAATGAAGTGACCGGTTTATAGCGGAAGCCTCTCAGCGGTGATGACTGATGCCAAGCAGCAGATGACTTACTCATAAGTGGCCAATTAACACCTACTGCAAGGGATGCATAGGAAAGTTAGAACTAATAGATAACAACAGCGTCCTTACAGGAAGCCAAGCAGGAGGCAGTGCAACTTGGTGCCAGTTACTGAAGAACAAAGGTGCGTATAGTAATAGCATTCAGCACCACCAGATCCTTGTCCCCTAAACAGATGATGTCCATGGTATTCTTGTGTCCTTGAGGGTTCTACTGTCTTCCAACTACAGATGCCTTGTCAGCAGATCTCTAGTAACAGAGCCTACCAGAGCTCGGGGTGATGCACCCTTCTTAGTCTTCCCTAACTGACAGCCTTACTGCAGGGAGCTGCGCATACACAGCTATATTAACCTGACCTCCTTCAGACTTTAAGCCCAACTGAACTTATAGTTTAAATTAGCTAAATATTGTAATGTAGCCACAGCATGAGTAGGAAAGCCCATCCCATACCCACTACTATGTCAAAGCCAAAGCTCCTCAATCAACGGGCAGCAGGAGCTTTGCTGATTGTAGAACACTAGGTTTAAGTCCGGAAGGGGACATGTTGGACCTTCAGAGAGACCACTGCTTGCACACAGAGGGCAAAAGGATCCACTCTGCAGCATCTTGGTAGGGAGCAGGCCTTTCTACTCAGGATGTGGCTGCTTTAGAAAGAAAATGAACTGTAAGACATTGAACAACTTTTGTTTTGATGCACTTGGAATGTATTTAGCTGATTTAAGTTGAGAGTTCAATTGAGATTTAAAGGCAGGGTAAATTGATTGGTTCTTTTGACAGGTCATTCCCCATCCCCCACTGATAGGCACCTTCGCAGTTTTTTTTTGTCGCCGCCATGTTTGCTTGCCGTAGCCTTAAGTCTATGCCCTGTGTACCTTCCTCATTGACAGTGTTTAAGCCTAGCAATTGGCCGCTCAGGCCAGAGCACACCATCCTGGGCAGAGGAGGAGTTGGCCATGGCACCTAAACAAGTACAAAGATAAGCAATTCTGGCATTTCTCGGATTTTCATTGGCTGCATACTTGCTTCAGGTTAGGTGCTCAGAAGCAATGAAGTCAAATATGGCTAAGCAAATGGCATCTTTAAAAGGAGGCCAGCAACGGCAGACCCTATGATTGTCATTGCGGGTGTACTCTTACATCAGAGTCACCATGATACATAGAGTGAACCTTTAGCCATCTAATATGTCAGGTTGGGTAGACTGACTCTATTAGGGGTACTGCTAGGAAAATATATGAAGAGCCATGTTCCTTCACACATCAAAA